CCTGACTCTGCAGAAGCACATATGTATAAGGACATTTTTAAAAAATTATGGCTGGATTGAGACATAAATTGCGTAATTTTCAGTGGCTCTGTGCCTAACCTGTGCTACACGTCTTTTCTTCTTGGTAGTAAGCACGCACTTATACTGGTTTGATGCCTGTAGTTCAATAGACAGTACAGATAAATAGTTCCTTTTGGGGTGGTGATTTAAGCTCTGTTATCCAACGGGTGAGCTCCAATCCACTGATTCCTTGTGTGCGAGGGGGAAAAAAACCCAGTTTCTATCAAGTTTTGTGTTGCCCAAAGATTAGATCTGGTTTTCTATTGGTATGACCAAAGAAAGCTGAGCTTAGGGGAAGGAAGGTTGGTTGCTTAGCTGGGGTAGTTTGGTTGTGGATTTTTTGGGGGGGGAGGGGATGTGGAGGGTGTTTGTGGATGGTTCTGGATTTGGGGTTTTTTAGAGTGGTAGCAAAGCAGTGCTATAAATACACTGAATCCACAAACCTGTCTCAAAGGAGAGCCTTCATCCTTGTTCTCAGTATGAACTAGGGCATTTCTGAAACCGTAGTGCTTTTTCTTGCTTGCTTGCTGCAAGTGGATTTATTCTGTGCTTCAAGCTAAAGCCCTTTGACAGTTTTTTGGTTTTGCTCTTCCTTAAGTTTAATTCTCAGTTTACTATCAGGTGTCACTAGCAGATACGTGAAATACGGACAAACTTCCTAAAGCCAAGTGCTATGGAAAAGCAGAGCACAGAGTCTGGATGCTGGTGGTGTGCACAGAACCGAGCCTTCCAGGTCAGGGTAGATTGCGTTTTCGCCACCATCTGTTGTGCCTGGGGATGCCAATGCAATACTTCTCATGACCGGTAACCTTGCACGGTTTGCTGTAAAAGAAAATATAATGTGGATTTTGGTTTTGGTCATCAACAACTTCTACTCTCCTATGAATTTGTATGTGCTTTCAGAAGGCCAATTTTAAGGACAAATTATATGCCAGGAGAATGCATAACACGTGTGAGAAATTATCTAGGATTTTGGCTCTAAAATCCGTATTTGGGACCTGACCAATTTTTCAAGTTCTGACCCAGCAATATGCAGGTAACTTCAATAATCTTTTATTTAAAGAGTGCCTAAAGCTCTGCTAATGACCTCAGCACTGTAGGAAACTTCTTCCGTAGATTGTCTTGTGCATTTAGCAGCTTCTGGTGATTTTTTTCGCCATGTATTTAGAGCAGATTCCAGTTAGCATATGAGTAACATCATGTCAGTCCTAGTTCTTTCGTTCTGACATCTCTTTTGGCTCCTGGTGCGATTTGGCCCCATTTTCCAAAATGTTGATCCTGAGTCCAAATGTAACTTTGTGGGTGGTACATATGTCAAGCCCTAGTTCAGTATTTTTGGACAGCAGTAGCATTTCATAATTCTTTTGAAATGAAAAGAAGAAACGAAGTTAGCTGAAAAAAATGCAACTAGATCTAGCTGGGCACAAG